TGCCTCCGAGTTCACCCGACCTCACATAACCACTACGCCATTGAGGATGATCACACGATCTGGTAATGCGTTTTCCATGGAACTTCCGCCGGCAAACGATCGAGCCATACTTAACCGATTGAAAAAACGACTCGAAGCAATCGCATGAAATTAAGGCTAATTGAAATCGGGCTTCTGACAGTAAAAAACAATGTAAACGCATTTCATGGCAATGAAAGAACATATGCGATACAAAGCTGACACAACTCCTCCGCGAAGTAGGACGCAAAACATAAGCTTATGTTTTCTTATCTCGATTTCCGCTGTCATTTTAAAGCTAATGCTCAAAATCACATCCATTTCCCCCCGTGACGTTGGGGAGTACTTAAGAAGAAGAAGAAGTTCCTTTATTTACCATACATTAATTCATACACATAACCTACTACATTACTACAAGGTAGGAGATCAAGCCAGCGTCGAAGTTGAAGGATTCGAAGAGCAAATGCTCATCTTCTCGTCAAGTTTAACGCCTGGACGAGTCAAAGGCTCTTGAATCGTACTAATCTGAAAGATTCCTGGGTGTCTTAAATTTGGTGAGACCTCTATCCTCTAACCGTGCTGTAGCGCACGAGGCACGCTCTCAGCGAGGAATCTGATGCCACCGAACTTCGGCGAGCGCGTGCTTCTTTGGAAACGATAGATCTTCGCGCTGTCGAGTTCGGACCCGATTAATTACGAAGTGCGTCTACTACGAGTGAGCGAGTGACTCATTTGCATATCCCTGCCACTGCAATAACTCGTGGTACGCTCGCGCGTACCCACGAGTTAAAAAAGGGAACAGTTAGAAAGATAACCTAAAGAATAAGGTGGATTATGATTGACTGAATTTCTGCTCAATCGACAGAATTGAAAAATCCACACACTTTATTAAAGAAGCGTCACTGGATTCTTTACATACTTGCTTATGACTTGAAGAGCAACTGGACCACTCGTACTTTACAAGTCAACTCGTGTGTTTAATTTAATTCACCGCGGAGTCGTTTGACCCACTAATTGAACCACGTGTGATCAATGTGACGACCATCCTTGACGGCAAAACATTGATGATGTGCAATACTAACCCCGATAACTCAAACTCGCCGCTAACTCGAACTAAGCCCCATTTCCCTTAGATTTCGCCCCCAATTTTCAGTCATTTTTACTCGGTTGTATAATCGATAAAACCTCTAAAACGAACACTACAGCAATTTGATTTTGATTAATGCAATGAACAGATCACATATTATCATAAAAAGCATTACCCTTTCTGATGAAATAAGGTAAATTTGTACTGCAGCATACACTGAAGGGCTGAAAGATCAGTACCTTGTAATTATTAGGATGGCAGATTTGGCATTCAATCGACCCCGATTACTTGAACGCCCACGCATCGTTTCCTTACGCAAGATAGGCCTCCTGGTGATTTAGAAACTAATTCTGAAGGGGGAGGGGTGGCGGGTTACAGACCATTGGTATATGCAGGCGGTTTAGAGTGTCTACGACGCAAGCTAGTGGGGAGGGACTCAAGGGACGTTTTTCGTCGTGGTCTACGCATTGACGGCTAGGAAAATTATCGAAAAGTGAAACAAACAGGTAGAGCGTTTAAAAAAGATAAACAATCTCTGCTCTTTTTACTCGCAGCTAGTATTGAAGCTAAGTAGTAAGCTGTTAATAAAGAGTTAGTCTCTTTAGTTTATCCCTAATGAGTAGTTAATTAACGCAGTCACCAGGCGTACTGGTTAAAACTTCTGTCATCTTAGCTTTCCTTTTGCACCCTGTATAATGTCTTCCTACTATGAAATGTCTTCCTATGGCAGCTTTGTTAATTTGACCGAATACAGTTAGATCTTCAAGTTTCTAGTGGGCAAACCGGTCAGTTCACGGTTTAAAAATGTAAGCAAATTTCACAAAAGGTAAATTTCCTTCCAGCCATGATAGCGTTTACCATTTGCACAAACCAGTTCCATTTAAGGACGTTCGCGCGAAAATCTTCTAACATTGATTTTTTCTGAAACTTTCACCAGTTTGAGATTGTGGATTACTCATGTCAAAAATGTAAAAAAATTGGGGGGTCAACGAATTCGTTTCGGAGATATGATGTTCAAAAGATCACCCAAAATCTGCGAAATCGGGCTTCGCTACTGCATACGGATAAAGTGCCTGTTTGTGCAAAAAGTTTATGAATAAATCCCTGAATTGAAATTTCATTCGCCAATTATTGTTCTTGTGGATCCATAAACAAAATTCGGTGAACTAAAAAACAAATATGACTTTTTCAATAGAACACAAATTTCCGTCCGGAAAAACAGGATTGTTTTTTCAGATATTCTCTTGCCCCTGGAAATTTTCCACTGGAATGGCCCAAAAAGTCGTGTTCCATTTTATTTTCCGACCGGATTTTCCGGAAACGTTTTGGTATTTATGTGAATTAGTCGTTGTCAATATCAGATTCATTTCATCATTCTAGTGTCCGTAATGAGTAGTTAATTAACACAGTCACCAGGCTAGTTAATATTTCTGTCATCTTATGCAGAATATAATGTAGATTTGAATCGTCCAACGACTGACTTCGTCGATTTCTAATTAATCAACTGTCTGAAACAGTGTTTCAGACTTCTGATTATTTAGAAATCGGGGCAGTTTAATAGTCTTTAGCCGATTCAAACCTGCATTCTGCACAACCTCGTCCCCAGGGCGCTGGGGAAGAGACGAATTACTTTTCGGACTTTAAAATAATCAGTCAAGAACAGTCCTTTCATAAAATTTATGAGGACAATCCTGGCTTAGCATGACTGCATATTACGTCAGAGTCCTTCGAGCATTGAATAAAGAATGACACATTAATTTAAAACTGTTTCAAAAGAGTTCGCATTTCGCGGTTTAAATCAGAGAGTTTTTAAACGAAGCCGAAAGAGAACCGAAACTGGAACTGGTAATATAGATGTCGAAAAGATTTTTTCCAAATAGAAGAAACGGCATATTTTTCTTTCAACTTCGTTTCCTCAACTGTGATTTTAAAAAGGCCTTTCAAATCATATTCCATAGGGGTATTACCCTTTTTCACTCCTTCCTCCTTGCTTGCCTGTTAATCATTATTTTGAGTGAGACAGAGCATTTTGAAATCGAAAGTATTCCAGTTAATGAGGCCCTAAGTCTTACCGATAGAGTCCCCCCAATGTAAAAGAATCCGGAAAATTTTTTTTCATGGAATGCAGAATCCCGGGGAAAATTTTTGCTTGTGGAATCCAGAATACAGCTCAGCAAATTCAGAATCCTGTTAAAGATTGAAATCCAGAATCCATGTTCTACTGAAAAGGACTGGAATCAGGAATCCACGACGTGTAATCTAGAATCCAAGACTGTCTTGGATTCGCTTACACGGGGCGAAATAGAGGCCTTAGTATCGCGAACAGTCGTCAAGTTGTTAGTGGAACAAAGCCGATTCTCGACTAGGTTAATCTATATTGATCATCGACAGTTGGTGTCGAGGACTTGAATCACTAACGGCAAGATGGTGTTACGGTTACTCTGACCCAGAGGGACTTAAGGGTGACAAGAGCACTTTCCTATGAGACTTCCATAATATGGAACGACCGAGTCGATGCGGCCAACGGCAATGCCAAAAACTGCAATAAGGTTTTTTAAACGCTTTACCTGTTTGTTTCACTTTTCGATAAATTTCCTAGCCGTCAATGCGTCGACTACGAGGAAAAATTTCCTCAGTTTATGTGAACAATGGAGGACGGTAAAACAAGAAGACGATTTTCTTTATCTTGTTTTGAACTAACCTAGGCTTGGATAAAAAATTAGGAGTTTTCCCGCCAAAAAAATTCACCAATGCATTTAGCAAAAATGCTCAAGCAAAGTGTTAAGCTCAGCCGGCTCATAATTTTCTATTTCATCAGTAACGTCCTTCTCTACGCACCAATTCTTCCAGACTGAGAGCCAAAAACAAGTGCTTTTCGCAGTGTTTTCGTTTTTAGAGCAGTTTTCAGCTCCTCTAAAGTTGTTTCGGTCGCAAAAGCAAATGTGCTGCAAACGCCAACCATTGCAGTTTTTGCTCGAAATTGGTCCGGGGCGGATACATATTTTGCGCCATTTAAATGGCGCACTTGATTGGCTCTCTGTGAGTTCCTTTGTTTATTAGCCAATCAGAGTGTCACGTTTGTTACTCTGCACTCAATTACCTTTATTCTGCACCGTGTTACTTAAACTGCATTTATCTTAGCCAATTACATTTGAGAAATTTTTTCATTTATATTATTAACAAGTAAAACCAAGTGTTCAGGGACACCCGATAGCCGTCAAACAAATACATGGCCATCCCCAAGTCCAGATGAAAGAATGACTCCATGGAAAACTCAAAATAACGCAAAAAGGAATAAGATTAGACAAAGGATTGATGATGATAGGTTACTAAAAAGAACCTCAGTAAACACAACCTTGTCTAATGAGACCAGAAATGGCGTTTACAACAAAAGCAGAATGTTCCAATGTGGAGGAGTTATTTCTAGCTGAAAAAGGCGTCGGAATTTGAAGAAGTGGCAAAATGTAACCGAATTCAATAACGTCCAGAATAAACTGTGGCGCATTAATTTCTCTCCAAAAATCAAGTGCCCGACGCAATCTGCCTTTCACCGACGCGCAATCCCGGTCCGAACTAAATTAATACTGCTCACAAGGATCCTGAAGAAAATTTAAATCTGCAGATGATTGATCCGAAAATTGTGGATGGCAAACGTGGTCGAAACGACGTCAGCGAGTCACTTAGAAGGCTGAGCCGAGTCTAATTGCTGCAGAGAAGGACAACAAGCCTTGAATGACCAGGTTTGCCACACGCAAAACAAACACCCGAAGTAGATCTCTGGGCTGAATGCTGTTGGTTTACAGGAGAGAAAAGGTTTGACAAGTTGTGAAGCCGCGAGTTGAGGAGGCTTGGCCTGCACGGCGGGAAGAAATTTCCGTTGGTGCTGAGATGTGCGTTAAGCGGAGAGCTTAACCGCCCTGGCTGCCCTTGATTCCGCTCTATAAATCTTCTTCTCATCCTCTTCATCATCTGCTAGGTCATGGTGTTTGTATTCCAACACTGTCTTCCAGCCGTACGGCGACTTGTCAGCGAGCAATATGAGCTTTTGACGTTCCTGATGAAGAGCCATACCTCTGTCTAAAGCTTCCTTCATTTTCTCCAGGTCTTTCGTCCTCAAAGCTGCCTGAGCGTCTTCCACGGTTTCAGTTACAGCCTTATTGGCTTTAAACTGATCTTCGTTACTCTTCTTATTAAACTGCGGAACAGGGTCACGCTTTATCCTTTTGATTTCCTGCATCTGCTGCGAAGCCGTAGCTTCGTTGGAACGCTAAAGATCTGAAATGGAATCTGAAATAAGGTCTTTAACTGAGATATGAGCTCTTTGTTGCTGTTCGCGATCATGCTGGAAACTTTAGCTTCATCCATTGCCGTAGACAAGGGAAAAACAGAGCAAATTAAACAAAGCAAGTTGACGCAGCGAGGCCGACCGTAGAATGATACGCATAACTAAACGGTCACTATATCAAACCCCCTAACCGCGATCCCTCGCGCGCTATTCTAGAACCCAGTCCTCCGTTCCGTGCCGGCAAATAATAATTTATGCTCAAATTATATTTTGCACCACGTAGCCAAGTTAATTTTCCCTTTTCTTGTCGCTCACTGTTCATTACTTCTGCAAAAAATTAAATTGCTTCGCGCCAGTTATATCCATAGGAATTGTTTTCAGCTGTTTTTATCTGCTTGTTTTCTATTTTGAACAATTCTCAACTTGAATCTGACGTTTGTCAATTGCCGTAACCTTGACTCTATTAATCTCTCTATTGCTGGCGTTGAACGACACCTCGTTCTTCCTTTCAAAAAACGATTATTTAAATCCTTTTACATTCGTAGACTACAGAAACAATAATTGTTTTTTCTCCCATACAAATCCTTATATTTTGAACTTTACGCAACAGTGCCGATGGACATATTTCTACCTTAGTCTACGTGTGTTTTCATCTTTACAAAGAGGTCAAATGATCTAAAAATAAACCGGTTGAAACACATTTTTCACCACCGTTTCAAACTGTAGGGGATTATAAGCTAAAAAGTTATTGCAGTACCAAGCCCCTCCCTCCCTCGATCCCTGAGGCAAAAAGGCGTGGCCTGAGATAAAAAATCTCGGCTCCTTTCAAGCGCAGCTCTAGAATTCTCTGCCCATTAACCTTAAGAAAGGAACATGTTTAACCTCACTTAGAAAGGCTATTTTAGTCATTTTTTAAGGGGATACAATGACGTTGATCATTTTAGCTGAAGTGAAACTTAATTTTATTTCTTAGTTTTATTCTAATCCGGCATTTCACAAGCTTCCTCTCGCTCGACCCATCCTATTCTTATTGTAATTATAGTTTGTAGATATTAATTGTAAGGATATCTTATAATTGTAATATAGTTTTTGCTCTTTTTAGTCTTATTCATATATATACTTATAGTTCTTTTTCTTTAACGATGTTTATTTTTGTTTACTTAATTTTTGTTTTATGGTTTTAGTTTGCGGGCCACCACTTCAGTTAAAGTACTGTCCCGTGTTACCCTCGTTAAATAAAGTTGATTATTATTACTATTATTATTAGCTAGTATTGAGGCTAAGTATTAAGCTGTTAATAAAGGGTTTAGTCTCTTTAGTTTTCTTCGAAGTGCCTGGATCTTGATTGACTAGCCACATTTAGTTATTTGTTCATGAGTGTGATGATTCCCTGGTAATTTTTTCTATATGCTGGGCCTAGCTTGTTTACAGGATGTCAAATTCTTTCCTTTTTTAGCGCATACTACCCAAAGTCTCCTGTTACTGTGCTCTTCCTGATCTGCTTATCTAATAGTTCTCACTTAGGCGAAAAACTTGGGCGGCGCGTGGGTGTTCAAAAATTATAGCAAAATTTTGATTTTCCCTTGCCTCGCGGCACAGCCGCTTAATTATAAAGTACACCGCGCATAAAAATTCCACCAGCTACGCATGCTCACTAGTATAACTTTAGTATATCACTGTAAAAGGATTTATCATGATATGTAATTATGACAGAAGGGGAAGTTAAACGAAGATTTAAAAACTGTTTAGCTAATAAATTCAGTCCTTCAAATGTAATGTGCAGTGTAGCATTGAAAACATTCACTAATACATCTAGTCCTACTGTCTGAGAGAATCCTTAACAAAAAGACGTTGCTATGGGCTTACAAAGTGTCTTCAGTGCAGTAAGTACACTTTTAAAGCAAAAATTAATCCTAGCACATACTTAAGAAAATGTACAGGTTAGTTTAATATGGATAGAAAATCGCATAAACGCGAGTGCATATCATGGTTATGGGCACGAGCGTTGTTTTGAAAGTGGTGTTTTACCATAGAAATCTTCTTAACATTTTTATTTTCTTGAATTGAAGTCATGTAACTGACTCCGCTGTATACATACAACGATTTTTAAACCGTTAAAATGACTTACAAACTGTTTGAATCATTGCATGGATGGCTTGGTTTGAGCCAATCAGTGAGAATATTGTGTGAACCAATGCAAGTGAAAAACGTTTGACAGTGATGGCGCAAAAAAAAGAAGAATGAAAGTTGATCTTATCTTCAATTTATCAAACACTCAGCATGGCCCTCGATTTATGTAGGTCCTAGAATTCCAGTAAACTGCGTTGTCCTTGAACATGTTGAATAACGTTATGAATGTGATGTAACAGTTCTGAAAACTGTTTACGGTGCTTGCTTGCGATACCTGACCTATATTCCACTGGACACCGCTTGTCACTGAGGAAAAGGCTTTCACATCTCATGATCACCAAGAGAACGTAGCACACACATTATGTTCTCTTGAGATTATTACTTAGACGATTTGTGCTCAGTTATCACCTTACATGTAACAGTTCAGCGATGTTCTCCCAATATTCAAGGGCACCAAACGAGAATATAGTTCAAAACCACTTAAACATAGCATTGTTAAACGCATTTTAGCATTTAAACGGTAGATACAGACATATTTTTATCCAATAAAAATTTTTCATCCGTTCGGATTTCCTAGCTGAAAGTCTAGTGCTCCGAAAATTATAGGGATCAAAGCTTACCTTTTCGAAAATTATTTCAGCCAGAATAAAGGCTTCCGAAAATTCTAGGTGACCTTTTTTAGGGTAAAAGTCCGTTAAAAATGAGCAATTGTACCATTTTTTAGATGTTCGAACATTCTAGGAGAGGCAAGCAAGCAAGAAAACTGACGTTGGGTGCCCTTGAATATTAATAGTCCTATGCTCCCACCACACGGTTGTGAAAGAACCGTGAAATATAATGGAGTTTCTCGCGGCCGCATCAGTTGTTCTCAGTCAGTCTTCTCATTTGCAATGTTTACCAAATTTATTTGCCTTAATTATTGACAAAAATGGCCATTATTTTATAATTTATTGTGAACTCTCGTGTAATTTAGTCATGTAGTTGGTTTTACTGCTTTTGTACCGGTTGAATCGGGTTTTATAAATACATTAATATAAAATTTGAGAAAGTTGAAATTTTATTCACTAATCGTGGTTACCATACCCCAAAACAAAAGAAAAACAAAAATTACCTAGCCATGGGCTTCCCTCTTAATTGTATGCGTTCTTCAATCATTTTTGTTAGTTATCATGGGAAGCTAGAAAAATTCAAAGGGACATAAACTATCTTAATCCTTAGACATTTGATAGCCTGCGTAGCAGGCACTTGGAAGTAGTGGGCGCAAGAAAGACGCGCAACATTCTCCTTTTGACCTACTTAACCTGAGATCAGGCTCAATATTCGTTTCGCTTTGTAATAACATTCCGGCGGGCAAGGCGAAACCAAAACAGACCCTGATACAAACCTTCTACGAAATGTCTGCCGCCCACTTTTTTGATTGATTGACATTTGCCGAATCAGCCAACCAAAATTACTTCCATTGCTTGTTTTTCTAGTATGCAAATTTTTCATGCGTGGGAAAAATGAGTCTGGCCGACTTGAAAAATAGCTTTTATCTGTTAATTTTTTCAGCTGAAAATAAAACAGTCAGCACAATCACATTTAACTTCTTGCGAGATTAAAGCAGATCTCGAAGGTTATTTCTGTTGGCGTAGAAGGTAAAAAGTTCTCGAAAAGACGGCGACGCGATGTTCTACTACTTTTTTTATTTTGGCTAGGCGCGCTCGAATTTAAAATACTGAAATTTCCATTTTTCTATTGCCTTAATATTTTCATGAATCAAATTAAAAATATGAATTTTCTGAATTTCCATGGCACATATTGAGGCATATTTTCCTACCATAAGACCATAAAACAATAAAAAAGACAGCAAAATGGATCCTTCTCTCCGCCGACGGCGGATCATTAACGAAAACAACCACGCAAGGAATAAGCGCTTTCAACTTCCGGCGTTTCCGACAGCCAATCAGATCTTGTGGCATTGTTCCAACAGCGAATCAGCGTTACGGCCAAAATAACGAGCACAAACGTGAGAGAGTTTGTATCAGGCCCAATTTTAGCGGTAGCCGTTAGAGAGAATGTACGAGAACCGCTAAAATTGGGCCTGATCTCAGGTTAGACCTGCATGTATAAATTTTACTGCTGCATGGGAATCGAATCTTTCTTCCCAGGTCCAGTGCTTCCGGTTTTGTCACCCTAGTCTCTTAATAGGAATAATATATAGATTTAGCCAGGGCTAAAAGCGAAACTCCCATTAATAAATTCATAATTTAAATCAAACAATAAACTTGTAATCCACAAATCAGTTAACTTAATGGCACATTCATGTGACTTTTGAGGGAAAGCCTAAGTTATTTTAGAGTGAAACATCTTACATCGAGTTGACAGCCTTATATGTTCACCCAAAAAATAGCAAACGTCTTCGATCACATTCAAGAGCCATAATGGCTCTTGATCAAAGTAGATTAGGCCTCAAAAACAAACTCTTGGAAAACAAATCAGGCCGAATTTTTTGCGTTCGACAGGTTTACTTTAAAAATTCTTGCCAGCAAATCTGAGGGTGTGTAAACCAACCTTTTATACTTTTTATTCAACACATCTGAGGAGAAACAGTACTATTTATCATACAGACCTTGGACAGAATGCAGCATTTCACAATTTTTCAAGACAAATTGCACTTAGTCAATATTCAGGACGATCAATCCTGGGCTTTTAGCGAAACTGTTCAAAAAATTTCCAAAATCACCCATACGGCCAGCCGATTCTCATTTCTAGTGCGAGCCGCTTTTGTGTGGTCGAGTGTTTGAATGAACTTTAACAGAGTTATGCTTCAACATAATAAC